GTCAACGGAATGAAGACTTACTTTAATAATCAACTTAATGAAAGTAAACGGCGTTTCGCGTTAAATTGCTTCGCTCTCCTTTGCAATTATTCTAGAATTTCCTTATATCGATATCCCCATTGAAATAAACGTTATAAACACTCCTCATATATCGAGGTCCAAAAGTCTGTCTAAAAAGTCGCCCAATATTTAATTAATGGTTTAAAACTCTTGCCCTCAAATTATCCTGTGTCTTTTATTCAATAAACGCAGCAAACGAAAGCATTGGAAACCCAAGAGGTTGTTCGTACATGTAGACTCTGCCGGGTTGTACAGACACGGCAAGATACAACTAACTCTCACAAAAACGTTTAAGAAGCAACAACTGAAGAAACTCCATTTGGAGTAGCGGGGGTCTTTTAGTTTGCCTGGTTTATACAATTCTTACCTCCTCTCGGCGAGATTTTGGCCACCGAGATCTCGGTCAAAATTTTGTACGGCTGGAAGACAGAGACGTTTAACTCGAAGCTTTGATTTTATCATTTACAAGCCAGTAATTTCTTAAGTTTTCTAGCGAATAAAGATGCCTAACTGGCATTTAAAACAAAATTAACTAGCCAGCAGTGACAGAGCCCTTTTAATTCGGCTGTTTTCCTCAAAAGAAGAAAGTGTTCGACCCATATCAAAAGCCATATATGATCTCTTCACCCATATTCAAACAATTTGTGCAAATATATTTCTTCTATATCCTTTTGAGTTCTAAAGCCAAAGCGATCACGGAAACGCGATAAGCTATGCACCAGAGATTTTTGGCGGATTTTTATCTTTATTTTATTATTTAATTTTTACAAAACACTTAGATCAGCCAGAATTAATAGTTATCCACAAGCTATTTAATGATTCTTGATTTTTAGCCCCTGAGCCAGTGGCACTGGTCCCTAGTTTGACGCCATAACTAAAATGCGGTTGGTCATGTAAAGCAAAAATGCTAGTTTTTTTGGCAACTTTGTGCATAAAAACCTTGTGAAGACCCGCGTAGCAAGGGAAAAAATTAATCAAGGTACATTTTAGACCTATATAATCAGCCTAAAAAGTAATAAATTTTCGTGGGATATGTGATCAGAACAGAACTTAAAAAACGCTGAGATGGCGGCTGATTTGGCGTACTACCATCTTTGCAAAAAATAATGACATAGCAGAAACCCAACCCCCCCCCCCCGGCAAGACCCTTTAACTTGAATTGATATACATGTACATGCAATCCCCCCCCCCACCCCCATGAAAGGATCAGCAGGAAATGTGGCAAATATTGCATCTATTTCATATGTATTTTTGCTTAGTGCTGCGATTGTTCAGTGAATCAAACTTCCTTTTCTCGATCTTGAATTAAGCGTCGAAGAAATTTGTACTTCGCGTGTATTTTTGGCAACAATATTCTTCAATGCAGCTAGAGTGAATTTGCAATAAATACACCCCTTCCAGTGTCTGTTCTGTATGCATAATTAAGGACGTGGAAACCTTCTTTTGTCTAGCCAGAAAAGGAAAAACAAATCTGTCAATTTTAGTGCTTCTAAACGATTGTTGGAAGCAAGTGAGTGTGATCAGACATTTTAGTTTCATACCCATTGGGTGTTTGGTCTAGCTAACACTTCTTTTTGTTTCCCAATAATCTCAATCTCTGATGTCGATGAGATTCATTCAAAACAAATATGACAAACTACAGTAACAGTATACATATTATCACTACCTACAAGACACATGAAATGTACAATGAGATATGGAGGGGTGGTTGTGGGGGGAAATGGTCGCTGTCCACTGGTATGGACAGTGATACATTCATGTATTAAAGACAGAGCACCGTATCATTCCTGGGGGCTGGGAGGGTGGGTCAATGACCGCCCTCTGAGATGTTGTGGGATATGTATTGTTATGAAAATATTCGCTTTATTTACAGTGCTGAGAATAGTTTCAGAGACAATGTTATGTGATACCGTGTATACTAAGCCACAAAGGGCAAAAATTGGATATCGGAAACCTCATCCCAATCAAAGCTGGTTCCTTTGACTAACTACACTGTATTTAGCCTTGTTACCATTGTTACTACTATCTGAGTGGCTATAAGACACAATCTGTAACATCGCAGACACAGATACGCAAAACTCAAATTTGGGTCAAAAATGAGCTGAAATTATAACTTAAGTATCCCCATTCACATGTCTATTACTAACAACTCTAAAAAAGGATTTATTTAATGGCTGACTGGTTAGCTCAGTTTGGAAAGCGCCGGTCTGCTGAGTGGGAGATGACAGGTTCAAACCCGGGCCGGATTAATGCTCAGAGTCTTTAATTTTAAAACTGAAAAGAAACTGCTCACCACTGTTCGAAAAGAGTAGGGGACGTAGACCCCAGTGGTGTAGCAAACCTTTCCTGGGCTAGGTGGCTTATCGGTAAGGATCGGAGATCTTAATATATGCCAGGATAACCTCATTTAGGTGTAGTAATGGCGATATATGTATAGGTGAACTCCTTCTTAAAGAAAGTCAACCATATCAATACCAGGTTTTGAAAAACTATTCCAGAGCACGTCAGGTTTACACAAAAAGCCTTTTCTTTTTTCATACTGCAGTCCTGGTTTACACACTGATTTTTCCCATCATATTTGAAGGAAAAAAATTCTGCTAAGGCCATCCTATTTTTTTTTCTCTGTTTAGCGTCATCCGACCAACCCAAATTTTTGGCATTTTCAAAAGAAAAAAAGGAACGACGCAGTTAAACCATTTTTCACTTTAAATAATTCTTTTAATCTGGAAAATGAGCATAGTAACAGTTGCTGAAAAGTGAGGAATGTTGGTAGGTCGCAAAGGCGTATCGGTGGTTGATCCATTTTCGCACATTGTCTTCATTTTAAAATAACATCAACCAATTTTTCTGCCATATTGATTTTGTGTCCATGTCTAGTTGTTTCTAGACTCCACAGCAATGAATCTGGGGTACCAGGCCTCCTATTTCGAGACTTTCTGTGAATTACTTTATTTATTTATTTATTTTTTTAATTCCGACTGACCGACCGACCGACCGACCAACCCAATATCAGGAAATGCATTTGACGCTAAACAAAAAAGGGGATGGCCTAAAAGTAAAAGTGGTGTCAGTAATGGTACTGAGCTTCTGGTCAAGCTGTGCTTATCGATAAATGAATTGGCAATTCTAACAATTTAAAAGAATAAATAAGTGAACAACTAATAGAGATCCAACCATGTGTCAAGTGGTCACGGACAACAGATTAAAACGAAGGAAGAACTATAAAATCAACACCCCAAAGTGTTGAGAGGGTAAGTTATGGAAGGTGATGTTCACAAGACACTTTTACTGTGGGGTTTAAAAACTGAGACAATCTATTTTGGTGTTTTGGATAGGTAGTCGCTCCACAGCTGTATGTCATATCAATGTCTCTTCCTACAGTGACAGACATTTGTTTTCCTACTGCTTCGGCCCATGCGATTGACTAATTTAAGTCAGCGAGTGGTTTTCAATTAACTTTGTTCACTAAATGACTTAAAATACACCCTATCGCGCTAGATTTAAAACTTTAAAACCGGTCCCAGTGTCAAAACTCTATCCGCAATGGCAGAAAGGGCACCTTGGAGTTAAGAGGATAGCCGAAGTCTAATACCATACCTCTTTAAATTACGTAAATACGAAAGACTAAAGACAGGATATTTTATAGACAGGAATTAAGGTTAGAAATTTGACCTCTATCGAAACTGTCTGTTATTATTTCTCGAATCTGCGTACATATTGTAGCTGTCTTTGTCGTTAGAAACAACTCTCAAACTGCCTTCTTCCTGCTTCTTAACATGAAAGCTCGTTGAATTTTAAAATAGTTAAAATAGTTAATGTCTGCACACTCAAGACTAAATTAACTTACTTGTTTATTTCGAAGGCACAGCTCCACAAGCGCTTCCATCGCCTCTCTCCGATTTCACCAAACACACATAAGACAGTACGGCTAAAAATCATCAGTGCCGACTTTGAAAAGCCATTTCTCGAGCCAAAATACGGTCCAACATAGGAACACATTTTACCATTTTTAAATCATGGCGGTGCATTTTATACAACGTGCATGCGCAGACGTGATTTTTGCCCCAGATCCCGCGCGTGGTCGTCTGTCTCTGATAAAATACCGGAATAGCTAAAATTGAAGCCGAACTAACCTGAGATGAGGCCCAATTTTAGCGGTTCTCATACATTCTCTCTAACGGCTACCGCTAACCTTGCCCGCCGGAATGTTATTTTCAAAGCGAAACGAAAAGAGAGCCTGATCTCAAGTTAAAGCTGAACCGACCAGTTCGAAAAAAAAATGTCCACACTCCTTTGAAGTTTGGCTTGGCCTCGAAATATTCTGGCGGTGGGTTTGGGTTTTCTGCAACACTGTGCGAAGGAGACAGAATAAAGTATCAAAACTGCTCTCCATTCGAGTCAGGCATGTTTTTAGGTGTGGTCGTGAAATTCAAAATAAGACTTTTTTGCGTTAGTTTTTTATATGTTTCAGCAATGGCAAAATAATTAATATGTGAAGACTACTAATTTCATTTATCTGTTTTATCTAATTTTATTATTTTATACGCGAAGGTCTGGAAGTCTCGACTTGTAAACGGCATTTTAGGACGTTTTGGGTTTTTATTGCCTGTGACCAGAAAAAGATTGGACTAGCTTAAAAATGCGTTTTAGACGATATTGCCCGGGGCAATTAGTAAAAGGTATTGCCAACATCAAATAAGCCACTTCTGAGTTCCAAAAACCCTCATTTTCGAAATGAGGCTAAGTGCACAACCTTTCTTGTGAAACTGAGTTTTATTTGCATGAGAATGAAAATATATTTTCCATATCAAAGGCTGAGAACTTAACCTTGTTTTGGCCTATTATGACCAGTTCTCATTCCTTAGGTTCACGTACAAAAGAAAGTCGTTTTAAAGGCCCTTACGTGAAGGCCCGCGATGAGTGACCAAACGTCTATGTACCTAATTAACAGTCTCGTATATATGTTGGGACGGTCCCCTGCGAGGTTTTCCCCGCGCACCAACTGAATCTTCTCTGTTGGGCTCGGTCTCGTAGACTCTTATGGGGACCGGCTGGGGCTGAGAGTTCTCCGGAACTTCCTGACTTTGCCGTTTTCGATCTTTATCTGGTTGGGCCGCAGGAGATTCATCTTCGTCCTCATCTGCCACAGAAAAGTGAGTGACGCCATGTTTGTTGGAGAAACCGTCATCGGTAAAGTGGGCGACGACCTGAAATACGATAGAAAATTTTGCAATTTCGAAAAAATCATAGCTTGTGCAATTGGCAAAAACCTAAATGCAATAACGTTGTTATAGAAAAAATTAAACAAAAAGAAAAGAAGCAAAGACGATTTGCCCAAGAATTTGTTCAAAATCGCGGTTTGGCAAGGAGTGAAAAAAGTCCACTTCCGGTTCCGGTCCAAAAAAACGTCGTTGCTTAAACTCCCTACCGATAATTCACCACCTACCTCCTGTACTTCGTCTTCAGGTTCTTCATAGTCCCCTTCAGGTACAGCACCGTCCTGTAACTCCTCCATAGCAATTATTACTTGCCCACTCCGTATCGAGGAGTGTGGTGCGATTGGGTTTGTATAAAACGATGGTCTCTTCCTCTCGCTTTTCTTACTTGGTCTCGGGTGTAAAGATCGCCTACAAAAGAGCATAAGGAGCTAGTCTAAGAAAGGAACCAAATAGAGAAAATAGGGACATTCGCCACTTCAGAAATGAGAAGGGAATTGGAGCTAAAAGGCGTCCCACAATTGTCTTTGGGATCGTTACCGGGACGCACTTATTTACGTTTTTATTGATTGATTGATTGATTGATTGATTGATTCGTTTTTTAATCTGTTGTTTATGTACGTATTTACGTATTTATTTACTTAAAAAAATGTCTCAGATCGGAAATGCAAATCACAAACAGAGACCGTGAAGAGGAGATAAATAGACCATTATTCATGTCATGTATGATTTTTACACATAAACTGCTTTTTTGGAAAGGGTTTAAATAGTAGTCCTTGATAGAATTAATGTACGTATCTCGAAAATGTCCATAGTTGGAGAATATATACCCCGTTGTTTATTGAAATAAAAAATGGCTACATAAAGCAACTGATCTTACTTCTTTTTAATTCGAGGATAACAGCAGCAGACCATTATGACAATAATAAGCAGAACGATAATAAGAACCCACATCAGAGGCCCTGTAACAAAAAACAAACTAACTATTAAACAACAAGAACAATAGCAACAACTGATTGGGCGGCTGTGTAACTCGAGAGGGTCAATCGTACACCTATTAATCAAAGGCATACAATGAATTCATACCAGTGAAAGAGCTGTGATGACAGTTAATTCAACAGAAAGTAAATAAATCTACTTACACCACCAGTAGTGGCGAATAGCTATTTCATCTTCAGTTATTTCGGCATGGGCTATCGGAAAAAAGCAAAAGTAAGATATAACTATGAGATGATTATATTACAGTGGTTTAAGAGATAAAACGGCTCGTAAATATATAGATTTTGGTGTTCTGTAAAGTTAATGATATATTCAAATAATAAAAATAAGGATGTTTGTCTGTAAGGGCTGATATGAAAGCATGAAAAGACTTGACTTACTTACTCGAGTTACAATTAAGTAGGAGGAGCATGATCGTTCGGGTGATCATAGTCCTGAATTGGACTGTTTTTGTTGACAGTGACTGACATTTCGATAACCTGTGCGGTAGTCACCTTCACTGGAGTCAAGGTGAGTTGTATCACGTCAGTTCAATGCTCTTCCTACTTATAAAATGACTCCTTGGTCGAAACCTTTCACAATTTTTCCCGAGTTACTTATGTAACTTTGGTCTTTTTGACATATTTTTATCGGTCCATTCATTAGCCTTTTTTGACTGATCAAGATCCTTTTTGATCCGAGGTTGAGCAGAGTTGATCGAACACCGCACCGTCTTTAGCGGTGTTTTTGAAACTTGTTTTCATATATTGAGATAACCTCACCCGTGACATTCCCAATTCCGTATATTCCAACTCTTAAGCAGATGTTGTCTACCCAAGAGATAGGCCTGAATCGGACATATCTAACCACTATTGGGTAAGGGAGCTCGCAGCATGAAATGGAACCACCATCTTTGTTGCCATCGAATACCTAAGGAAAACGAACAGTGAAGAAAAGGTAATCTTAATTTAAAAAAAGGTTATTACAATTAATGATATGACTGCAGTGATAATAAAGTAAAGGTTTATGATAAACTAGCAAGAGTGTTTGTTATGAAGTTTCAAACATGACGAGCAGCCCAGATGTTTTGATCATGACAAACAAGACTGAACTACATTGAAGCTCATCGGCCTAATTCTTTCCTTTAGCTCTTTCATTCTCTTAAAAATCTTTGGGCTTTAGATCACCTCTGTCAAACGACATTGAAGCTGAATACTCAGCATTGGTTTATTAGGTTTCACAACACTCTTGACTTTCAATCGCAGCGACTTAAGGATTTCATTCACGAGTTATAAAATAATGTGTTAACAAAACATGAGTTAAAACACAACAACAAAATAGTAATAATAATAATAATAATAATAATAATAATAATAATAACAACAACTTTTATCATGGATGGTTTGATTGATTATAAAACATCTAGCCATTCAACCATCCATCCATCTATCCGTCATTTGACTTATTAGTTTTCCAACCTGTCCGTCTTCCAAAATAGCTCAGTGCCATTTGTGTGTTGAATATTATCTCACCTTTAAGTTCTTATCGAAATAGTATCCATTGTATGTTTTCCCGTCAGAACTATATTCTAGGGAATATTCTTTAACCCAGCTGTTAATGTTGCTTCCATTTACTTCCTTTGGTGGGTCATTCAGACCTTGTGTGGCAACGTGAGTCACTCGCGAGGTATATACTAGGAGAGATAGAAAGTGTAGTTGAAAATGTTGATTCTTAGCTCTGCCGGCGAAACATGTTGCATTAAAGATTTTCTAACTCAGAGCGATCTATGATTCTCTTATCCGTTAAGATTATAAGAGATAAAAAGTGAGGTCTCATTTATAACTTGAATGTAATCGCGCATGGAGTTATTTTCTCATGGACGAAATATACGAACTTAAAACTTAGAGTCCTACATTTGATATGGATTTCATCAATTGAAGGAGACGAATTCATTCACTTTCCAGCAGTTTGGTTTCACTGAAAGATTTGTAAAATAAATCCTGCGTTTTCCATGTAATTTCTCATTCTATAACGAATTATATTCCTGGAATGCCAGGTTTGCTTCGTGATGGTATTACATGTAAACATTGTGGTGATTATACTTACTGAGATCTATCTGCAGATACTGATCATTTTCAGTTTTCCCAGCACACCAAGCAGTGCCCTGAGAACCGGTAGGTCCCTGGTTAAGCCGTCCTCGTCCAGCTCCGTGATTATTATCCAATCTTGAAGAAGCTGTCATAGACTGATCAGGAATGTGGCCATCCTCAATCCCAAGCTCATTCAAAGATGCTATAAGAATGACATAAATGCATTGAACAGTTAGTAAATGTGGTAAATTCCATTTGTACGTTAAGAGTCACTCTTTTAGCCAGTCAACCACATTCTGGGCCCTTGGTATAAGAGATCTTAGATTTGGCTGCGATAGCGAAGTCGTCAAACTCAGCTCGAGCAAGTGAAGTCCTCAGAACTCTTGCTTACATTTTAGTTCCTATTGGTCATCAGCAGAAGGTAGATAAGGAATTTATAAAAGTTAATTTAGACAGAGAAATAAACTAAACCATCTTCTTGCTACTTTTTCTTTAAAAAATCTTCACCGCCAAATCAGTTCTCTGATTAACATCGTGTACCTGCAGATAGCTTTTTTTGGTAAATAAACTATTGTAATTTTCTGCTTAATCTCAGTCTAATTTACATTAATTTTGCAGTCAGACCAACCACTGAGTTCCACTAATCATTTTCGACTTATGACTCTCAATATAATCTCCGTTGTCCCTTTTATCAGTATCTCGAACGTCAATTTAAACATAAACATTTGCAATGTAAAAAAAAAAACAAAAACAAAAACATTGACTGAAACGAATGATCCAGTAAACAGACATTTCCAAAAGTGTTTTGAAACTATCGATTTCACAAACACTCACAAGTGTTCGTGCGCCTACTGGAGCGCGAAAACGATCCAAAAGTTATAATTATTTCAGAATGCAAACTACAGTGTATATTGTTGTCGCCTAGTTAATGGCAGAAGAGTAAAAGCAGCATTCAGTTACCCTTAAACTTACAAAGCTGCACTGAAACCCTGGGATACAATATGACTTCTCTTCGATCGGAAAAAAACTCTTTTTACTGTTAGTGAAAGTGATCGTCATGACAGGATTTAAATATCACTCAATCTGTGACCAAAATGAAAAATATATATACATAATAATATTTTAACGAAGAAAGCAGGTCAAGGAAGTAGAAAGTCTGATTGTGTTTGCACTCAAAATAAATAGCGTAAGATATAACAGCTCGCCATATCGATGTCAACATCGGGATAAAGAATCATGATCAGTGTAAACTTACCAACGTTACAACTGCACGACAGAGTAGACTTGTTCCACATACTACAAATCAGTATCAAAGCTAATGGCATGGATCTTTTTGTGAATATCCGCGGGGTCATCTTAGGTGAAGCAAGATTACCAGAAACGACTAATAACTCGCAGAGAAAACTAAATTTTTACTTTTGACAGAACCATGGAAAGCAGCATCGAAGAATGTTTGATATTGAAAGAATGATACTAAACGCTCTTGGTTTCCAATCAACCTAATATCTAGATAGATCGCTGAATAACAATTAGGCACACGGCAAGTTTTCTTAGTTCATTTCACAGTTCATTTCATACATATGTTTACTTAAAAGGTCATTAGCAAATATAGCAATCAGCGACTTAATAAGTATTCAATTGATTCTGCCTTCAAAATCGCGTGATGCCGTCTCCGAGCCTGATATATTTCACAGATAGGATCACTACTTCTATTACAGGGAATAATGGAGAGGGGTTGATCGACATCGCGACATCTATATGTGAAGCCAATATGTTAATCTTTTGTTTACAATTTAAAGAGCAATCGTCTGGACCCAGTTGTTCGAAGGCCGATTAGCGCTTAACCTAGGGTTAAATTGAACCCGGGTTTCTTTTTCCTCTGTTCAAAAGCATTATTTTCTCGGATAATTTTCTCCGTTAGTTTTCTGTCATCAATTTGGTGACAGAAAGAATTAAACTGAATTTACTTTTTAAGCTTTCAAATCTGAATTCAAATTTGGCACTAACCCTGGGTCATCTTAACGCATGCAGCTTTGAACAACCCGGCCCAGAATATAACTGAATTCTTTAAATGAAAACCGTCCGTCGTGTGAGGATGTTATGAGAATTTATACTTACACTAGTTATTTCAATCAAATGAATGGTTAACCCTTGAATGAACGGACGAAAAAGAAAAGCAATAGCCACACTGTACGTGGTAAGGGACGTGGATTCAATCCCTGCCTTCCTGCCCCTTGTATTTCAGTCTCTGTATGGTCTTGTTTTGGAATGTCATCAATTAATTGTAACACGGACAGTCAACACTACAAAGCCGGGGTCTTTGTTGCTTTGGGAAATAAAATATAATTCCTTAGGTGGATCATGGTCTCCCATTTCATGACAAACGAGATCATCAATGGGCCTACAATGTAGCCGTTCCTGTCAGAGGGTCTTAAATAGAGTGGTAGCCTAGACAGTTAATTTTTTTTTTCCAATTTTTGACTGCTGCCGGTTATATTTTAGAACTTATGACGGTTGACGGTTAATAAGTGGAAATTTAGTAAATATTAACTTCTGTCGGATTTAATATTTACTGTTGTGTTTTGGAGGTTGTCTTGGCCTTTCACTTATAAAGTTTCAAAATATTTTCAGATATAACTGAACAGGTCAGTAAGTTATTGTAATGTCTAGAAAGTGTGTTTTTGAGAACACGAGAATTGGTTTTTCCAGTTTAGAAATTCTTCAGGAGCCGGAATGTCGTGAAGATCAGCCGGAATAGTGAGATTTAAAAAACCTCCAAGCTTCTTTACGGTTAATCTAAACCTACATTTTTGACGGCTGACGGTTAAATAAACGGTTGACGGTTAATTCTTAGGCCTTTTGACGGCTGAAAGTAAACCCCAGTGAAATCCTCTTATTACGGTCATGTTTTCATTCGAGGATACCCGTAATGATACGATTTAGCGCCCTCTTTCCAATAACCGCCCCCTTTCGAATAAGCCCTCTTCTTCGAATGTTTCTGTTAATAAGTACCCGTATTCCATTAAGCGCCCCATTCCAAATTATAATATTAGAGTACGGGTACGTATAAACCGAGGTTCATCTTCCTTTAATTGCTCACAAAGGAACGGTAATGCCACATTACAAAAACAATGGTCTTCGTCTGAGTTTCTCAACTATTATGTCCATATGAGTTCATAAATTCTTGAAAGGAATGATCGCTTCTTCAAATTTGGTGGCGACTGCTCGGCTAGTAATTGATGAGAGTGACACTCACGCTATCGACGTCGAATAGATTAACTCATTAGTAAATATTAAAGTTTTGTTTTGAACATTCGCTTGTTTCTCAAAAAAGAAATTAGCACCTTGCCCCGAATAAGCGCCCTACCTTGAGATGCCAAAAGTAAGTAAGCGCCCGGGCGCTAAATCGAGTTATTACGGTACCCCTCACTCTAACCTGACGATCAAATGAGTCTAAAGAAAATAAATAAACACAAATAAATAAAATAGATTAAAAAGCAAACAAACGAACAAAAACAAATAAAATACATTTTTAATGTTCTAAAGTTTTACGTTGTTCACCCTAATTTTCCGGTTATTTACTGAACATCAGTTATGACTTTACCAATATAAAGTCAACTCTCTCTAAGACGCCGCATATCGTTGGGACCGACAGACTGTCTCATAGGGAGTCAAAGACTGAAGAATGGCAGAGAGCAAGGGATGTATCCGCCTGATGGAGAGAAGGCAAATAATATAACTGAATAATGGCAGGGACCGACTCTAAGTGTCCGTTTTAGGGAAGTGTCAGCCTTAGAGAGGAGAGTGAGAGCCTTAGAGAATGTTAGCGTAAAGAGTCGAATAAAAGACTGAAAAAACGGAGGGCACCAAATCCAGGTGTACATTTCGGGGAGGTCCATATCCGTCTCAAACAGTGTCAAGAAAAATGACTGAAGAACGACAGGAACTGACTCTAAAGTGTCCGTTTTAGTGAATACTCTTAGTCAAAGGTGTCCGTTAAAGAGAGATGACTTCAAATGGTTTCCAGCAGGTGAGAACAGACAAAACATGTTAGTGCGACGACTTACAACTGCACTATTGGTAGCTTTTGGAGAATGAGGCTGATACTATTCATACTTCATTTTGTACAGCGATTTTCGCTTAATACTGGCTCAGTGTTCTTTGTTTCTTTCCATTCTTTCTGTCTGTCTTGCTGTGTCTTTACTAATTCCCTATAATGCCTACAGTGTACTAAAAACCTATTGGCTTACATGGTTTAGTAGCAGTCTTCTTTTTTTTTAATCGCTCAGCTTTGGACAAAATAACTGAATTTTCCAAATATATTCAGTTTAAGGGGTTTAAATAGAATAGATTAGCCATAAAAGGTGAAGCTCAAACCAAAAACCGTAACGAAGGTTTGCATTTCGTAAGCGGGACCCAGAGGTGATGAGACAAACTTTAGTTTTGGCTAAATAAGAAAGAGCTGATAATCATTTGAGATGCTATCAAACACTCGAAACCGTGTTTCATGCAGAGTATTTCTTTATGGCGAGGTCTAATAAAAATCGGCGCCAGTGCATCGTTTTTCTTTTCCTTTTTTTTTTTTTCCCACCCCACTTCATGTATTCTGGACAACAGATAACGTAACATTATAATACACGTATCAGGTTTTTCTCTTTTGATTGTTCCTCACTTTTGCCGTTTCCTTTTTAAAGGAAATTCATTTTAATTTCTTTTTCGCTAAAGGAAACACTAGTGTCGAAGATTTTGATGCTTCTCAAACTAAAACTTGAGCGCCGAAAGTTTAAAGCAAACGCTATTTAAATGGTGATCAGGAAATGGGTTTCTAGCTACTTTTTTAGATTTTGTTTTCTCTCGTCTTAATAACAAATTGCAAAATACTCTTTATATATAGTATATTTCATGAGATAGGAAAAAATTTCTTAGCAACTTTAAAAATATAAGCCGGTAGCGATGACGTAGACAAAGAATCACTTAACCTAAATGTGAACGGATGTGCAAAAGCACCCTAAATATTTATGTCCACTTTTTTAAAAATCAATACATGTCGCTCCGGAAGTAGCCGTTTCTCAAACTCTCGTATAACAAAATAACGGTAGCCACCGGTATCCCTTTTGATCAACACGATATATTAGGAAATGTTAGTCGTCTTTCCTAGCCGGGAAATAATCGATCATTACAAATCAGCCTTGCCACTGGAGTTGGATTACAA